GGGGGGGCCGCCGGTGCCCCGGCTGCTGCCGCACATCGACCGCTCGGTTCTCCCGTCTCTGGGCGGCTTCGGGAGATACCAGAAACAGCTGGTGGTTCTGACCTGGATACCGGCTTTGTTTATAGGCTTAAGCCAGTTTTCGGATTATTTCCTTCTGGCGCAGCCCAATGGCACATGCGTCCAACCCCTGGGTAACGACAGCAACTGGACCGTGGCTTCTCCACCGCCGGCCCTCGTCACGGGAGGGAGCAACGGTACCGGCACCGGCACTGGCGAGGAGGGGTACGGAGAGGGCACCGGTGAAAGTGGGCTGTGCGACTGCACGGAGTGGAAGCTGGAGCTGCTGACAGGACTCAGCCAGAATGTGGTGACAAAGGTAATAATAATAATAATAATAATAATAATAATAATAATAATAATAATAATAATAATAATAATAATAATAATAATAATAATTCCTCTGTTTACAACAGTCTGATCCGAGTAGTACACACGCATTACCAAGTTACCCACTGACCTCAATATGGGATGGTGTGTGTGTGTGTGTGTGTTAAGCTCTAACATGGCAGCAGCTGGCAGCTACAGTCAAACAATGCGGCTGCATGTGTGCTGGGACAGGGTGACTACAAAAGAAAGATTTTATTCTGAGGTTTTAGTAAAAGTATAAATAAAGGATAATCTCTTCAGAGAAACCAGAAGAACCTGAAGCAGGGTTGAAGAATGATCAGCTTTTCTTCATCAGCTGTGGTTGGTTGGTTGGTGGTGTATAATTGGTGACTTCTCAGGCTTTATTGCCTGAATGTCAAATGCGTCCTGGGTATACATCACGTTACAGTGCTGCCCTTTCCCTCTGTTCTATTGATCCTCAGCTCAGTTTCTCTGTTTATGACCCGTCGACTTTCACTGTTTGAAACAGAAAGGAATCTGAAAAAGCTAAAAAAAAATCTATTTTCACGTTGTTTTCTGTTCTAAGTCTAATGCAACTTGTACAAAATTTCACAAAAATCCCCTGCAAGAGAAGAAAGCTCTTATGAATGCAGCCCTGATCTGTGACAGAGCCTTCACGAGCTTTAAATTAAGCCATTCAAAGAGTTTTCCTTAAAAATACATTATGGAGTAGTTACATCTCTACAGTCTTCAGGTTACCAGCCGACCTCTGACCTCTGAGGCTAACTGCATCGCTGCTGCGGCCCCTGGTTAAAATGAGTCTTGACCTCCCGGCTGTAGCCGTTTCTGCTGATGTTTGATCTATTCCTTGAGGGAAACTTCACATCCACAAAAGAAGTGACTGATGCAGAGAGAACAGACAGTGTTGAGAGAACGACTTTTAACCTGCATCACATGGCAGTGAAAGGTCAAAGGTCCCAGTTTAGAGCCACAGAGAATCTGTTCTGTCATTAAACAGAGGAACTCCGTCAGCTCTTCTCCGCCCAAAGGCTAACGGATGAATCAATACAGCATGGCCACTGTAACATTAATGAGGGTAATACACAAAAAACAGGGGGCGGGGCATTTAAAAGTGTCACCCAGCTCTGCACACGCCTCATATCTGACCCCACCCCCCAGACATCACTGGTCCTAACAGCCCCCGCTCTCTCCCCCAGCTATAAATCATTTTTAAACACCGTCACTGTTGTCACGCTCGGCTGAATTGGCCCAGTGGGCACTTTTAGACGCATTTTTCAGGGTCACACAAAATATAGAGAACACATTGTGTTCCCACACGTGCCCTTGGCTGTGGCACAGTGCTGCAGTGGGTTTCACGTTGGCTCGTGTCCTTTCAGGAAAATGATCGATTTCTGCATTTACAGACACGTGTTCAGGTTCACAGACAGGCCGCTCACATCAACGCTAGGTATCAACCACTGATCAACTCACGATTAATCGTAATTAATTATTAAAAATATATACAAAAAAAACATCTATTTTTCATATATTGCAGGAAAAGAATGACAGATACCAGCAGGTAGATGTCAGTGATTTGTAGGAGTGTAAGAAAATATCAGTACACTGAAATATCTCGTTTCTTCGTCTGTTCTTCTAATGTGTCTGTTGACTTTCTTCCCTCGGTTTCAGTGGAACCTGGTCTGTGATTCGGCCTGGAAGGTGCACATCGCTAAATTCTCTCTGCTGGTGGGCTCCATATTTGGATATCTGGTGATGGGTGTCATGGCCGACTGGTACGTTTAGTTTTTTTCTGTAGAAAAAAGTTCTTACAGAAGTTTTTGTGTTAAACCTAATAAGGTCGCACTCGTTAAGTCGAGTCAATTTAAGGTGTGAAGCCAAACTTAACATGTGACTTTAAACAAAGTCAATGTTAAATCAAATTATTTTAGGTGAAAGTGTTGCAATGTTTTCAAATATAAAGCTGGTAAAACAAGGGTTGAAGTAAATAATCAATACTAATTGGTCTCTACATGACATTAGAGAATAACTCTGTAGAATTCTCTCAGTGCAGAGATGCTGTGCTAAAGAACCTGAAATTGATGTAATTAATTCAGTGATTCATTAATTCAGTGATTGGCTAACGGAGCTACAGCCTGGTTCCTACGCTGCTTGAGTCATGAAGATGTGAAGCTCCAGAGAGCAGGAACATCTGTGCTGGCTGTCACAGTTCAACACACACACGTCTGACTCATGGCTCTGTCCTGGTGCCTACACTGGTTCTGATGTCGACTGTGACTGTATGAACAAAAGACAAGCATTTGTTTTTCATCTTTGTATCGGCTACATTTTGCTACATTAGCTTAGCCTACTTAGCCTTCTTAATCTTTTTATTTTTTGGCCAACTTTCACATTTGTTTTGGTTCTTCCAGTTTCTGGCCTAACTTTGTAATCTCTCTGTCGTTTGACCAATTTTTAACAATATGGGATTTTTACAGAATTGTTATGAGATTTAAAAAAGTGATAAAAATGTAACTTTACTTATTCAGAGTGTCTGTGTTGGATTCCATCACAACAGCAATTTAAAAACACACATTGGCATCAACTGCATCTGTAATCCTGGTCCTGTTTGATTTCAGGCTGAGCAGCTAATATTATTTGACATTGTCACAGTTGAATTAAAAGTCAGAAACAGAAAAGTTTCTCAATGAATTGTTTGGTACCGTGGGTAGAGAAGGTCTTAAAGACAGGCAGTGTTTTCCGTTGCCGTCTTTGTTTTCATGTCTGCAGCCGGTGAGCGACCTGAGCTGCATCGTGGGAAAAATGTCCCCTGCATTGTATTTGGGATCAGTAACCATGGCAACAATGTAAAGAAATTTGCAGGGGCAGCTCCGGCCTGACCTACTGGTCTTCTGACGCCCCCCGGCCCCTTCCCCCTCCCCTTTTATAAACTCCGTCCTTCCGACAGAGACATGTTTGTTGCATCTTGTTTTCACCTGTGTGTTTGTTCCTCTCTGCCGTAGGTTTGGTCGACACCCCGCCCTGATTCTCTCCCTGTTTCTCGTGCTGGTGTTTGGTCTGAGCGTCGCCTTCTCGGTGAACGTCACCATGTTCAGCACATTGCGCTTCTTTGAGGGTTTCTGCTTGGCTGGCCTGGCTCTCTCCCTCTATCTGCTCAGTAAGGACCAACGCCGTCACCTCCTCATCTCTGTTTGGGTTTTTATAAATGTCAGGTTTATCTTTTACTTCTTTTTCTTCCATTTTAAATTTTCCCTATTCTCTTCTCCTGTTTCTTGTTCCTCTTCTTCCTCACTGTTTTATTTTGCCATCCTTCCTGTAAATCAGTCAGTCTTTTTCCTTGGTCAAGTTGGAAATTCTGGTGTGATTCTGATACATTTTACAGGATAAATGCAAAATAAAACACATAAAATGGAAATATATAATTATATAAAATAACAATAATCTAATCATTCTATTGAAAGCCTGTTTTTTCAAATTTCATTAGCAGGAAATACTACAGTTTGCTAAGAAACTATTGTAGAATTTCAGCTTCTGGTGCCTTTATTTTTTAAGTTAATTTGCTAAAATTGTTGCTGCATCCCCCCTATCTCCTCCTCCTCTCCAACTGACCCTCACTCATTTCCTACAGGCCCCTCTCTCCCTGTTGCCTCTCTCTCTCTCATTGTTCCAGCCACAGATTAGTCATACATTATGCGTGAATCCAGGTTATACTTTGA